CTCTTCTCCTGAATACTCTTGATATTTTGAAAGCACACACAGGGTTTCTTTATGCTTTGCTACAAGGAGCTGTGATTCGTGGTGCTGTCTCAAGAACAGATAAGAAAGAAGATTGAGATTTGTTCTGGGATGGCGTCCTCTGTACAGACCTTATACCTGTCATTGGAAATGAGGTGTCCTGATGTGCTGGGTTAGATGCTCTACTTTTATCAATTTTCAAGCTGACAAAGCTAGGGGGTTTAAGCATTTTTTCCCATTTTCACTAATTTAAGTGTTCTCAGTTGTGGGAAATGATGGGCTGCTGGTCAGACAATTATTTAATAACAGTAATTGCTGAGATTCAAAAAGTTACAGCTTTAACCATTAAATACAAAGTGACAACAGCACAGCCAAATATATTAAGAGAATAGTCTTAAACTCTCTAAGTTCTCAAGCAGCTTTTTACCTCCTTTGCCTAGCTGTCAATCTCTGTCATCGACAGAAATATTTTTTCCATCAGTTTGGGTGCGTTAGATGAAATCAACATTTACCAATAATAATCCAACCCTTCCAAGCCTACGAATAAATTTAAATAATAAACAGCAACGGGAGAGCAAGATTAAGAGGGACAAGAAAGAGAAGAGATGCTTTTCAATTGAGATTTTATGTGAGATGGGAAGTCAGTGGTGCGGAGAGATGAACGGAGGCTATTCTGGAGGCGACGAGATGTACAAAGGAAAGGCTTTCCATGCCAGCAGTGGCAGTGTCCATGGACAGACAAGGCTGGTATTAGAGTCTTGATTCTATACAGCAAAGCACTTAAGTACAGGCTTATTTTATCAGAACTCTTGGCCACTAGGTTCCAGGCAGTCACCTCCTTGATTCTGTATCTGACCTGCATCCCAACTGGTGTTACAATACGGGGTCCTACCCACGGTGTGACCCATGCTAAGGCACCTATAAGATCCAGGATGGGTGCTATGAGGACCATGGCTATCTGGAACAAACGTGAATTTCCAGGTTTGTTCCTTTACTTTATAAATCTCCAGAAAAGAAGGTCAGATTTCCTCCCCCCCACACACACACACACAGAACCCAACAAAAGCAGTCACAGTGCAAGATAGTCTGCAGTGGTGCTAAGAACCACAGGATGTGCTCATGAAAGTCAGTGGTAGCGCCAGTAATGGCCCCCAGGAGTCCTGAGTCCCAGTCTCCTGCTCTAACCACTAGGATGCTCTCCAAGATATATGATGTAAAAACACAAGACAGGAAAAGTACAGAATAGATGCCAAGGAGAAGTCAGAACACACTACAATAATACAGACTCCTTAATACAGGAATCACAGTCAATGTGTCCTTCTGAGCCTTTGTGGTCTGCCATGTCAAGGTCAAAGGAAACCTGAAAGTTGATAGAGTCGAGAACACCATGTCAAATTAATCCAACTCTTTTCCCACTTAATCAATAGGGTCACCACATAGAGACATCAAAGCAGTATACCAAAACTCTAATGCACCTGCCCTGTAGCTACTTTTCTCAAAAATTGTGTGTGTGGGAGATTGGGTATGCCCTATTGTAGAAGCCAGGCAGAACATCAGCTAAACAGACTCTTCACCAGTGACTTGATCCCACTTAGAGACTCAGCATCAAGTACCTCATAAAATCCATTTCAGCACAAGCACAGTGGCTGGTCACTACGTGGACCTCAGATCAGGACAGAGTTCCAAACAGTTTAACAAGTGGGCTGAAGTTTTTGCTACAGCCTGACCTCATTAAAAATGCTTGGGTTATAAGCACTTGACGTCTTTGTGGTTTTGCAAGGCTTCATTTTAAGCTGGATTTGATTCAGCCAACTTTGCATTACTTAAATAGTAACATGTCTGGGGCTTCTGCAAGCAAGACGAAGCGTTACTCCTAAAGTTGGATTAAAACAGATCTACTCTGCAGGATATGCAGCAAGGAACAATGACTAGTGATATCAAAGACATTATAAAAATGACTTCTAATAAATCACTGCGCCACAATCACAGCAGGGATAAAGACTAGCAGCAAACTCCTTGCATAAAGAACTCTGCATCCAAAACAATCTGTTTAATAGCAAACTACTAATGCTTTGTCTTTCCATAGCACTTTTCAGAGGTCTGAGACCCTTTATTCATTTAGCCTCCCCCTACCCCATACTCAAACCCCATGCGGGAGCAGGGAAACAGAGGCAACCTGGCCAAGACCACAAAGGAAGCCTCATTTCCTGATTCGCAGAGGTCTGTACCACAAGATTATCCTTGTTTCGTTCCCCACACTGAAAAATAATTAAATCCAAGGATTTTTAAATTAATTTTCCATATTAAAAATGTTGAGTCTGATTTTTGTGGTTTGAGGTACTGCGCTACCCCTGTTCTCTCAGTGGTTAATGAGTAAAGCCCTGCAGGGATACAAAATTTGTATCCACAACTGTATCTGCAAAAAAAGAGCTATGGACATCCACACTGACATCTACGGATGCGGATACCCGCAGTATAAAGCGGATATGCTGGGCTCTATCAATGAGAGCTGCCGGGGCTAAGCTCCTTTGGAAATGGGACCTTAACGTCCAGGCTAAGCAAAATTATGAACAAGTCAGATCATCTCAGAAGGCAGAGTTTGAGATCCTCCACAAACACATTTAACTGCAACAGCCACTGAAACATGCTACTCTCAAAAACAGGTACACAATAATTTGCCCTTCTCCAGCTCTCTTTCATCTCCAAGTACTTTGCAAACATTAATCACCAGTCTCTTTTTAACAGGGATAAATCAAAGCCTGGACTATAGTAAAAGTTAGGTCGACCCAACTATATTGCTCAGGGGTGAGAAAAATCCACAGCCCTGAGCCAAGTCACTAATAATGCTAGCATACAATGTGCTACGTCAATGAAAGACTACCTCTTGGGGATGAATTACCTCTGTCAACTGAAGAACCCCTCCTGTCAGCAGAGAGAGAGTCTACACTGCAGCAATGATGTGGTAGCTTTTCAAACATAGACAAGCCGTAAGGTACAGAGGTGTAAACTGGTCTGGCAAATCCTATCTAAAGCAGCAACTTGTCTCCAATAACAATCAGTGCCACAGGTTTCGGAGAAAGAAACCATGCAGCCCTCCCCATAGGAGTTTCCTCCTAGCTCTCCAACAGTTAGAAGAGTGTTTATGTCTGGAAGAATAGTGGTAGAAATGTAGCCGTGTTAGTCTGGTGCAGCTGAAAGCTGAGGTTTATATCCCTTCCAAAGCTCTTGCCTATCTTTAGTTGTTCCAAACATGGAAACCCAAACTCTGCAGCAATCTAAGGACCATAGGACTGTAGTTTCTACTCAAGTCACATTCAGATTTCCAGAAAAAAAGTCAGTCTTATTGCTGAAGTCTTCTATCTCCATCAAATGGAAGCTGCTGTCTTAGGCCCTGATTCTGCAGCTGGATCCACACAGGCAGATCCCTTGCACCCACGGGAACCACTAACTTCAATTATTACAATTATTACACAGAGGGCAAAATAATAATAGCACATTACCCAGCTGAAAACCAGAGTAGATGAAATCTCTCAGCTTTCCTAGACATTAACAAGACCATTAAGACAAGAGGGAGGAGTGACCTGAGAAAGAATTGGGAGTAAGAACTTCCCAGTTCTTCATCTGACTTGTTCTGTGACTCCCATCAAATTATTTCACCCAGCTGCTCCTCAAGTTTTACCATGTGAGAACACTTTGAGATCCTCAGACAGAAGATGCTATGAGAGTGCAAAATATTACCTGTGTCCAGATACCAAAAGGTGAATGAATTGATAGGGCAATACATGTTGCCCATCGGATTGTAAAGCCTACAGAACTATCAATTTGGAGCATCTTCTGTAGAAACAGGTCACAAGAAGAGTCATACTGGATCAAGATCAAAGGTTCATTTAGCCCAGCCTCCAGTTTTCTGACAGTGGCCAATGCCAGTACCACAGAGGGAATGAACAGGTAATTTTCAGGGGATATCAGATCCGCTGACAATGTCTATAGTGAAACTCTAATGTTAATAAAAACTGCCTCTTGGAAGGCCACTTGCCTTGTATATCAAAGGATTTTAAAAATTAAGTTGATCTTTTGGCCATTTACAAAGCACAGGAAGGAAAAGATGGTTCAGGGGATTGGCAAAGCCCTCCACGTATAAACTGTTCAAATTCAACCCTCATTAATGACAGACGTATTATCAGAAGGCCGATAGAATGAGTTTGAGGCGGGGGGGGGGGGGGGGGGGCGGGGGCA